GACATGATAATAACTGTCCCAGTATGAAAATATCTTGCGAAAACCACAGCCGGCGTCACGTCCAATTCAAGTACGCAGTCACGCCTACCGCATCTCAGAGATTGTACTCCAAAGATGTGCACCATATTCGTAGCCAAGCACCATTCTGGCGCCTATACAGACCTGCCACTGCCACTGTCGTAGTCAAGATGTCAAGCAACCTCGATGTTTAGGTTTATGTTGGTTTGGGTGAAAAAGGCACAGATGCCTAATGGATGCCATGTTGTGATTGAGGCACCAAATACTCCCTATAGTCCATGTTACAGCAATAAAACAAACTTCGGGAAAGTAAGTGTTCAACAGGGCCAGATACCTTTTCATCACGAAAGGAACCTGTCGCACCCACAGCATCATTTTCATTTCACACTATTTACACCCTGTCATTCTACAATATGCCTTTCAATGTGCAGCCCCTTTCACTTACTTACTCCCGAATTTTTAATGCTTTTTTGGGCACTGGAGGGTTAGGAAAAAGCTCCTCAGTTACTCTAGACTCAAAGTTTCGCAATTTTGGAGATAGCTATGGCAGCGTTCAGACTTGTAGCGCTACAGCGCAACGCTACAAGCGTAGCGCTACAGCGTCGCGCTACAGTTGTACCGAACTCCAGCTTTTATGTTTTTTTTTCTTTCTGTATTCAACCCTCTTCTCTTGTTTCTCATATTTATCTGATAGTGAGCTCCTGTTTTCTACTTTATCACATTTTAATGTAGTTGAAGTGTGAATAAAGTAAAACAATTTCGTCATCGGAGTCAACGTGAGGCACCACTGCAAGACATCAAGCAAAGCCATCAGACAGTATAGCAACCTCTGAAACCTAATAATCTACGGTCAAAAAGATATATTAAACATTATCACAGGTCTTCTGTATCAAAAACTAGCGATTGACGATGTGATGAAAGTAGGGAAACAGGGCTCACTATCAAGATAAACTATGAGAAACAAAGAGCAGAGGGTTGAAACAAAAAATGAAGAGAAAGACATAAAGCTGCAAGTTCGGTAACAATGTGGCCGCGAACGCTGTAGGCGCTACAAGTCTCAACCGGCTGCCTAAGAGTACCGTTTTCTGGTTTCAGGGTCAGGCGGAGGAGGAGATCGTAAAACAGCAATTGACGGTCTAGTTATCAAGAGCATGATTCAGCGTGATAAGATCGCCTCGGTCTATTCGACCACACTGGAATACGGATATCCTATTCCCACGACAGCGGTATGTTTTGAAATCTCCTAGCTCAGCTTTGTTCTAACTACTTATCATTTCGCTTGGGTGAGACTTTGTAAATTCTTTTGGAGCTGCGGAATGGTACCTGGAACGGCTTCGCGTTCAGGAATTTGCGCCTGTACATAGGCTTACAGGCTTTACGATTTGCGGCCTGTAAAAAACAAAGGTTTGCCACTGGTGCAGATTTCCTTGAGTAACCCATCCGATGTCCCACCAAGCGGAACTGCGCCGTACACACGTTCATGTCGATTGTGGCCCCTCTGGGCGCTAATTCAGCAGAAGGAGAGAATTTTGACATTTTAGCAGGTAGTAGAGCTGAAAGGCGCCAATTCCACTTTGCCTAGGACAATTTGGCAATTGTTCCACTCAGCGGATAAAGTGATGCGGAATGGGGTGGGGGTGGCGATTGGCGGACGAAGGAGGAATAGTAGTGATGAAGCAGTTGCACCGCGGATCAATCAGAAGACTGTCCCCATATCAGTGATACGGTAGGAAGTGCTCGGTTAGTGAGCAGCAACACTGGAGACGAGTTGGAGGGGGGGGGGGACTCGGGTGAAGTGATTGTTATCTGAGCGCTTTTCGTTGTCGAGTTTCTAATAAGCTCCTCTCACCTCCTGGAATCAACTCTGCCCAGCTCCTTTTTTGCTTCCTGCAAACACTCGAACAAAAAGAGAAATCTTGATAATTCGAAACATTTTGTGATTCCAGCGAGATCCTGAACTGGCCCGAGCGCATCGTGAACTGGAGAAGCACTCGATCTACTCACGAGGACGTTTCGGTGGTTGGAAATACGAGGTGTCAAATCAGGTGAGCAACTGTATGAAGCAAATATTTCCTACCCTTCCGCACGACATTTCTGCATCAGGTCGACTGCATAGTTCCTCTTCTTATCACTTTCTTCACCCTCTATACACCTTTTCCTACACTTGTTACTCTCTCTCTCTCATACAGTTCATGGAAAGCACCTTATTTCTTTCGCTTTTGCTTTGACTTGACTATAGATTTCGGAACATAGGGACAACGCTATTTCCATAGTGCAGGGTACGGTGCTGCCTCTGAAGGTAGGCAGGTAGCAGGGGGGGGAGCGGGAGGGGCGGGGAAGACAAAAAAGTTACGCTTTGCTCTTGCTCAGCAGTGTAGTAGTTTCACGTATTCAGTGAGGAGGTACATGGAAGACGCTGGGTGGAATTGAGGATTAAGTTTTTGCTTTTGATGAAGCTTTTTTTCCGGAGACCCAGCAACACTTCTTCCCATCCAATTTATGGAGGCTCGTTGAAGGGGATGTGGCCAATATAGCGACCAGGGCAGGGGCTACAAGATATACAGGTGAATGTTACTATCCTCTCAGACGAACCTGGTACCAATTACCGTCCATGCAGGGTAGACGGCTTGGTTGGCCAGGACGGTAGGATTTGACCCTAAGCCGCGTGCTTGGTGGGCGGGCAACTTGCCACCACACCACCCCGGCTTCCTGGGGTGGATTGTTGTTCAAATACTCGTTGGTAAGCAGAAGCACATCCTTGGTAAGGACTGCCATCCGCAATTGCAGAAAGGCTGAAGACAAAAGACGGTCTCTGACTGGAAGCAGCTGGTTAATTATACAATCGTAGGCAACCTTTGTAACCGTCGCTTCTTGTAAGACGCCGCACGTCCTGCTATTCGGAAAACGTCGCCATGTTTCACGGTTACTTTATTTACTTTATCAAGACTCGACAGTGTCAGCGAGCGTGGCTCCATGCTCCAGCGATCTCTCTCTTTTTTGTTTTTTCCTGCACGAACTCACAGAAAAGGTAGATAGCTGGTATTACATCTACGCTCACGGGAAGCGATAAAAATTGCTTCAGCTGACTGCTGGGAAGGTCAGATGTTGCTGCTGCCACGCGCTTCCCCAGCTTCTACCCTATTTTCCCCGTAGGCTGCACTGTTTTATTTTTTTATTTATTCGTCATTTTTTGTTCCTTTCTTCATAAAGATTTATCTACACTCATTGTATCTAGGGCACATACCAACATTTACCCACGATCATCAAGGATCGTTTTGTGCTAAAGCCAAAAATCTCCGCTATTGATGAGGCAAACGTGTTGTTACGGCTCAATCAGGTAAGCTACTGTAGCTGGAATCAATAGCACTGATATTGTTTTGTTATCTCACTCTTTCTTGGATTTTCTGAATATTTTACCGGTTTTTTCGCTTTCAGGTTCTACAGTATCGCATATCAAAAGCCGCATCCACGTTATCGCCTCGTGCCAAGGGTATTGTTATAAAGAATGGCATGGTATGTGCCGTTCAGTTAATTATTTATAATTTAAGATGTAACTTATTGAGGGTACATATTGCTTTTCATGCATCTTGCTTTTCTTTCTTTTCATGCCTTTTGCCTTGCTTGTTGATATATCTTCTGAGCAAAAAAAAGGCTGAAAGGTACCCTTCACACAAGCTGGGACTACTGACATGGATGGGGCTTTTTGTTCAAGCTGCTTAGAGGGGAAGGGGCACCTGTGTGTGAAATCACTCTGCAGCACGCTAACCTCAGTTTTTAATGTTCCCAGAAAGCCTTCCCGTCTTTTGCTTTTCAAGTGCTTCTTCTCATTCCTTTTTGGATGCTTTCCAGCTCTGGCGAAACTCGGTTTTTGTTCAAAGTACCGTACTATTCTTCCATTTACAGCTGATCCTCACTGTTCCTGGAGAGTTTGAAGTAAATTTAACGGTCTTGGGAGAACGCGAACAAACTCCATGGACACTGTTGAACATTAAAATGCTGGTGGAAGACTACGAAATTGGCTATGGAGCCCAACTGGTGCATCCCCTCCAACTACATATGCTACACAATGTATTACAGTCGAGGATGGATGTCGCAAAGAACGTAAGCGTACGTCAGGCTTTTATTGACTGACGTTTCTACTTGATCATTTGTTTCAGCCAATAAATGAGGTTTACAATTTCCTACACACCTTCGCGCAGTCATTGCAACTTGATGTACTGTTTTGTCAAGCCTCCCAGCTCGCTGCTGGACGTTTAAGGTTTTATTTTTGTGACTGTTTCCTCTATATCATTTTTCGTAATATGAACTTGGATTTTTTAAGGAATAAAATTGTCATAGAAAAATATGACCCGAAAGAACGTATCCTGTCTATCGGATATTGGGTGCAGCGTATCGCTAAGCGAGCAATAGGAAATGTTCGGTGAGATATTATCAAATCGAATTTTTTATTGTTCTTTCAATGAAGAATGTTTGTGTGTGGAAACCATGTCATGGCGTCTCGATAGGGCGTGGCTACGGAATCAGTTATGGGTGCTGCGGGGACGCGCTTACCATGGCTGACAGCGACAGCTTGCGAACGAAAGGGCTGATGCACTGCGAGACTAAACCGTTTACCCTTGCTTCTCAGCTAGTTCCCTTGACACGCCCTCTCCAGTTGTCGCGACATAGACTTTATGTTCTTTGTTCTTTATTCTTACTCAGTTTTCGGAGACAAATCCTATCCATCTTCTACTTTTCATTGTTCATTTTCTGGTGTCCGGAAAGTTCTCAGCGTTTTGGTGTTTCACTTTAAAGACAGCGCCCGCGATGGACTTTGGCAGGTCTCAGGGGTCAAATTTGTTAGAACAGGTGGCCAATGAAGCACTAATCAAAAAAAGTAGGAAAAAGGTGTGGAAGAGCGTGAAATAAGACCCTACGAAGTTTAAGGCATGTGGACGAGTTTCGCACACCTTTGGTGAGTTCTCCAATACACGTCGCCGCCTCGGAACTCCAGAAACTTAGCGCTTATCAATGCCAGCAAGCACTGACAACTGTTAACCAGTCGGGGCGGGATTAACAGGGAAGGAGGCGTCAGCTCAGCCTTGTTGACTCCGCCCTCGTCAACCAATCGATTTCGAGCCGCAAGAGTGGGATTTCCGCTGTGGTTGCGTACTCCGCGTTCGTTTTCATTGGAGGGTTTTTTCACTTTGGTTGATCGCGGACGCTGCCTTTAAACGATCGTAACTTTTTTAATACTCATCGGATTTAATCGAAATAGGCACCATTCGAATCAGCACACTTTTGCCAATGTGACAGCAGTCGAGAAATCCCATCAAAGTAAATGGGTGGTCGAAAATTCACGAAATCCACTAAGGCTTTTTTGCCTGGTCCTGATTGATGAAGTATTTTCCAGCAAGGGAGTTCTGAAAATGTTAGAAAAGGTGATAGTCGGTTGGCGAAAGGTCTGAAGAATATGGCGGTTGAGGTAGAACTTCAACCCCCAATTCGTTCAATTTATGGATAGTGATTTGTGAAACGTGTGGGCGGGCGTTGTCATGCAAAAGAATCGGACCCTTTCTTTTGATAAGTGTTGGCTGCATCTGACAAAATTTTACAATTCGTCGATTTCTTCACAGTAGGGTTCTGCTGTGATGGTTTGGCCTGGTGATAAAAGTTTATAGTGGATCACACCAGCCGATGACCACCAAGCCGTGACCAGAATTTTTTTTCGTGAGGGTTCGGCTTTGAAAATTACCTCGGTGGTTCGTCGAAATCCAACCACTGTCCGGAACGTCTCCTGTTATCATACATGACCCATTTTTCATCACAGGTGACAATTCGGCCCAAAAACAGGTCGTTTCTGCTGCGCAAAAGCAATGCAGAAGGAACCTCGAGACGTGCCGATTCCTGCCGGTCACTCCGATTGTGGGGCACCCAATTGTCGAGTTTTTTCACCTTCCCAATGCGTTCCAGACCATCTGCAACAGTGGATTTGCCAAGGCCTAGCTCTTCTGCTATCTCTCGAACTGTTTGGATGGGTCAGCCTCCAAAATCCCCTAAAATCCTCGTCAGATATTGCTTTAGGTCGACCGCTATGAGGTTCATCTTCAAGGCTGAAATCTCCAGAACGAAATTTGTTGAGCCATTGCCGCACAGTGCTTTCTCTAGCACTATTGGGCCCCCTGGTTAATTTGTTGAGCTGTTTCGATTGCGGATTGCCCCAATTTATAGTCGAAGAAAAAAATCGTCCGAAGTGCTCTTTTCACATGCTTGAAAAAATCTTGAAAAAAGGGGTTTATCAAGCAATGGTGAAACGGCAATTATACCATCAGATAGCGCAAGAAATTCTCTACAGGATGTGCTACTGAGAAGCAAGGCAGAATGAGTTTTTAATCAGCAGTGAATGTACAAAAAATAGGTGCACAAAACGCTGAGAACTTTCCGGACAACCTAATACAAGATTGTATGGAACTCATTTCACGGCTATTCGAGGGGGCGTGGCCGCCGACCCAGTTATGAGTGCGGTGGCAGCAACACGCATTTGCCGGCTCACGCGAAGGCGTAGGCAGTGTGCTCACAGAAAACCTCATGCTTGCGCGAGAACAAGTTGATCCACTATTTACTACCGTTGAACTCACACCGGCTCTCGGCTTCCGTGGACAAGCCTTTCCCAGGTGCTACGATATGGACTGTTCTCACTTCTTACATTCAGTATTATCGAAGAGCAAGTTCAATTTTCCTCAGCTTTTTCTTGCTCTTTTTGTAGATTATTCTGGCGCAGTTTCGCTTGTTTTTGTAAAGTGTTTTGGCGCAGTTTGGCTTGGTGGGGCCGTTTTTCCATCGGTTATTCTCTATGCCTCGTGTATAACTTGTCAATTCCTAGAGCTGTAGAGCTAGGCAAAAGCAAGAACCTCTTTGACATGAGGGTACAGGTCTCACCAAAGTGTTAAAAGGACCTATTAAAAGAAACTTGCGAATTCAAAGTGCTCCTCCCTCGCCAATTTTTTTTCAATTCTTTTTTCGTGTTGCCACTTTCATGTTTGTTTTTTTCAAGTCCTATACATTCAGCCTCGTTCCCCAATACCGTGTGACCATCTTTGGTGATGAAAGTGATGACTCGTCGTTGAAAGTTCGTCACTATCCAATCGCACCGGATCTTGGCCAGTTGGACGATCGTACAGGGTGTGTTAGTTCGAAAAAATGATCCAGCATTCCTTGGTTTTCAGCAAACCCTATCAAAACTTGCAGCTTTCCAATTATAGAACTCTATTTTTTACCTTATTTCTTACAGTCGTCTGTCAATTGATCGTCTTTTGTCCGAAACTCTGGTGGTCCGATGTCGTGAACGGCTTTTACGTATTCGTAAGCGCCTCAAGGCAGCTAAGCCTCTTTCGATCGTTTTGTACGCTGGTAAGTAATTGAACTGAATGCTTGCACTGTTAATTCGACTAATTTTTTCCCCATCAGGATCAGCGACACCAAGTCTTTGGCTTCCACTGTTACGGGATAGTGTAGATACACGGGAAGAGTGTGTAGTTATATCAGTGAATATGTTTAGCGGACGTGTTCTCTGTAGTTTGGATGCGATAGGTGAGCTATTTGCTTGCATGTTTCTTTGTAATAATCGATTATTTCAAGCAGTATATTCCTTCACTGAAGCTCTAGTTTCTAGCCTTTTCCGCTGAACCCGTTTTGATTTTGGGCGATGAATCGGATGTGGTAACCTTATGCAGACAGGGGGAGATGTGTACTGGCAACTTATACGCTTCATATGTTCGCGGTCCGGGGGTCAAATCTCGTTTTGGCTACCCCAGGTCTTTTGCCCTTCAGAGCGGTAAAATTGTAGCAGATTCAGGACAGGTGCTACCGTTGGGGAATTCTCTGCTAAAGACGACCCACCTCAAGAGTGCTTCCTCTGGTTAGACCTCTCTGCCTACATTACTGGAGATTTTACCGAGAATTCCTGTACCGCACCGCCCCTATCTTCCCCAAAAATTTGCTGTAGCGGAGGAGTGAGAAAATATATAGCATGCTTGAAACAGGAAAATCGAGAGAAGTCAATAACCGAATACACTTCCTGAGAGGAAACTATGACCCCTCTTCCTCCAGCGACCAGATACGACCTCCTTTGCTGGAGATACCCAACGTACAGCGTGCCCCGCCTAAAAAATTGTGACTGCATCCAAGTTTAGTTGTAAGTAAGCTGCCATTTTTTATGTTTCAGAGTTCCTGCCGGGTTCAGCTAGTGAACTAAAAGAATTTGAAGCAGCTCTGTACGATGGCCAATCGATTGATTCTCTGCGCAAGCGAATCGATCGTCTAAAGTGAGTAGAATTATAATAGAGGAAATATTATCTATTGCCAAAATGACCACTACTGCGAGATTTGTTCACGTTTAGAGTCCTGCTGATGATCGAACGATACCGGAGATCTGTCTCCACCCTTCAAGTACGCATCATCAACGAGAATCAAATGGCACCGTTCTTCAAGAAGGTTGCAGTAAGCTGTTTTCCTTGTTCTTATTGTTTTTCTTGTGTTTTCGACCTCGTTCAAGCTTTGCGCTATTTCTAAGCAACTGTTCTTCTTTCTTTCTTTCTTTTCGAGCAAAGAATTTTGAGTTGAACTGAGGAAGATTCTGGTAGTCATGGGTTATTATTCAGTTGAAGGTTTGACGGTTCGTATTTCAGGTCAACTCACTTCCGAGTGATCGTATATGCCTCCAGTTCATTAAAGAAGAGCATTTCTTTTTGGTGAGTATTCTTCTTTCATAGCTCCGTCGTTCTTGAATCCTTTAATATTTCAGGTTATCACATTCGTTTCTAATGAGAATCTCACTGTCAAAATGAATCTTTATCTATTGTGTACCCTTGATGACAAGGTACAGATGATGGAGTTGAATAAGGTGATTGAATCTTCTATTACTGTAATACTCTTGCTGTTTTCCAAAGAACGGAAGGGGATATCAGACTTTCTATTTTGAAGGAGAAGCAGCTGATTTCTGCTCCGATCGAGGGAGTGGTGGACATTGAAGCCAAGGCATTTGGACAATCTGAATATGATGACGTGTGGACTTTGAAGGAAAAGGTTTGATTCTGATTCTTCACTACCCTTAGGATTTGTAATTATTTTCTCATCCGTTTTATTCACTTATTTATTTATTTCGATGCTTTCAAAGGTGTGCTCGGGAAAACTGATATCTCATAGCTGCAGTGCATATGGCCGGAACGAATTAGATTGAGCTTTAAAGGCAGTTGACACGATGGTTTCCTACTTAGCCTAAAATGCTAGTGGGGCGCTGTATAGTGAAATCCTGCGAAGAAAAAGCCTCCGTTCTCAGTGACTTGAAAATCGATTTCGGACGAGTTTCCCGTAGGCATCTTGCCAATCACCGCTACCGAAGATACGGCTGCATATGTGTACCCATATATGCATGCAGCATCACGGCCGCTTCATACCAATCCCTTCGCTTCATAATTTGCTTAGCAAATGAATGAATACGAGCGTCAGGAACGGTCGTCCATTTGTGGGCGGGCGGGCGTGGCGGGCGTTCCATCGTGTTTATCGTGCAACTGCCTTTAATCAACTGCTTTCCTATCCTAGTGACGTTCGGGAGTGATACGCGTTAGGCAGCGGTCAGACTTCACGATGACGTACCGGTCGATACCAAACTGTGTGATTGTTGAACTCGTACCTCCTATTTCCACATCATTTCTCAAAACAAAAAAGTGACAGAGGCCGATCGATTCCCGTCTGCGGCTGCGTTTGCGACTATAGCATTGGAGCGCTGTAACGCGCGAAGTCTAAACGCTGCCTTTAGTTTGGTTCAGCAAATCAGACATGCTTCTTTCCGTTTCCTTATCTTATATGAGCTTGCCTCACTTTACCATACCTTACTTTGAAATTCTTTCCAAAGTACTGTAGTGCAACATTTCCGAAGAATTCTGAATGCGCGTCAAAGGAAACTGTAAGTATCGATCTGGCAAACTAGGATGTTAAGAGAATATAAGAAATGCGATTCGAAAGGAAGTAATTGTCTAGATCTCATGAATGGAAAACCAGGAGGAGGTCCGATCAATTCCTGTCTGTTTCGTCGTTCCCCAATTCAACCAGTCTCCTATTTTCCTATACTCCCAGGTCGCTAGGTCGATATTACACTTTTTTTGACGCGCATTCTTCTGTTGCTGTTTTCTCCGACTCTCAAGAATGAAAGCCCATTGAAAATAATGCACGCGGCGCATTATCTTGAAATTGAACAATTTCATGTCGAAATTCTCGAATAATTCATGTCACTGCTCCTTTTCAGCATAGTCGCGTGGAGCCGTCCATGGTTAGGCAGTTGACCACAGCTGTAGCTGCAGTAGATGATCGAATTTCATTTATGCGTGTTTGTGAAGAACTGGACAAGAAGCGGATAGGTTATCGTAGCGTCGAGGAAGAACCTCACGTTGGAGGCCTTATTTTGCACATAACTGAGTGAGTTGGTTCGATTCAGTTAGGTTTTTCTGCGTGGCCTTTTCCTCTTACAGTACAGCATTCCATACATTGATTTCAGCGTCTCCGCTGTCGTTGACGTGCGATGTGCAGCATTTCTACGAAATATGGCTCGCTGCTGTCTGCGATTGGACAGCAGAGCACGGGTCATATGGCCCCTTGAGTGCTGCATGGTGAATATTCCTCTTGTGCGCGATCTCAGTCCATATAAGAAGGGAAGAAAGGTAGGGTTTTTTCAAGTTCAGTACTTCAGCAATACTCAGTACAATATTCTGCCACAGTTCGGGGACGTTAGGGGGGGGGCATTTTGCTTTTGCTACTTCCAGTCGATGTTGCGGCCACTCACAAACTTTTCATGACTTCACGAGAGTTGAAGCTTTGCCATGGTGGCTCGGCTCCAGTTTCACAAGACTTCACGGGCTTCACCAGGGTGAGACTTGTATATCGGAATAACAGCGAAAATGCAAAATTCCCCTTCCCTTCCGTCGCCGAACTGCGCCTAGTATTCTTTTAAGTTTTACATTTTTTACTGTTATTTCATGCAACTTATTTCAGACGGGCGTATGGGTTCATGAACAGAGCGGAATATCTGTAGGTGGTCCCGTTGATACCATAGCGACATCAATTATTGAGCGCCTCACAAGATATTCTCACATTTACGATACTGTCAACAGATTCGCTAAAGCTTACGATGCGCACTATAATAAACTTTGTAATGTAAGTTTTTAGGTTCTTTTCGTATTTAAAGTTTGTCCTTGTCCTTCTCTATATAATGGTTCTAATTCCATAATTTCTATGTTTTTCCTTACGATTTGAAATTGGAGACGGACAGGACAATCGTAATTTGTCGCGTGCTCGCGCGCGGCGTGTCGTGCGGCGACGAGCCACGAATTGTCAGTAT